AAAATTACTAAAACTTTAATACCTTTTTAAAAAAGGAAAATATAAAAATTAAAACTATTAATAAAAACGAATACTATATTGATGATACTAAATTAAACCGGTTCTCTAGTAAGTGCATACAGCCAGCCAATCAGATGGCATCTATCTGAGACTTTGTAATCACCCACCTCACGTATTTAGCTGGTATACTGAGCGTCTTAACGCCACACCCTCCTAACAGACTGGACACGGTCACAAAGTTCTGAGTGCTGATGAACAACACCTGCGTCGCCTGACACAAACACACACAAGCTTTTATTCACTGCACAGATGGTTTTCTGCTTCACTGCTGCTGAATGCGGTGCTGAGTTCACCTGCGGGTCTTTCTGGTTGAGGACGACGGCGAGTAGTCGACCGTCTGGAGAGAATGCTGGGATCAGAGCGCCTCTGGACTTCAGCGGTTTACACGGAGGCAGGAGCTGGTTGAGCGGGTACGACTGAGAGACCCAGCCAACACTGAAACCTGCTGAGCTGTGAAACAAAACGCAGAGAACGATGCCAGGAAATGCAGGAACATACAAGTATAGCTTGAATGCAACGCAAGTTGATTTGGTTAAAAGTGTCTGATTATTCTAATTAAATGAACAATTATAAAATGTAAGAAATAAGCCCTTACAGGTTTTCCGCCACTTCCTGCACTGTATATCACCTTTAACTTTATTTGTTTTTTTATGCATTTTATTTTAAAATTTACTTTAATTTTATATGTTTGTATATGATATTGTGCGAAACTTAAAATGCATAAATGTAATATTTAAATGGAATGGCGTATCCCTTGTAGCAAAAAGATTTTCTTCTTTAATATATTGTAAAAGATCATTTCATTGTTGCTTTGTAACTGTTGCTCATTTATTATTTGTTCATTTATTCATGTACAACATTGTGATTATTTCCAGTATATATGCATTTTTTTTTTATATTGGTTGTTTTTATGATAATACTATTTTCATAAGTTTGATGTATACATTTCTGTATGTTAATTTATTTTTTATTCTTAACTTGATAAAAATAAATTGTTGTTTAGATCGAGCCTTACCATATTTCCGCATCTTCCTGCACTCTATATTCATGTTATTTTTTATTTTATTTTATTTACATATTTTATCATTTTATATTGTGCAAACATAACACGTTAACATAAAGGCATACATTTTATTTATTAATTTTATTTTATTTTATTTTATTTTACCAAGTGGCTTTTTATTTTTACTAAATTGTGCCAAAAGCAATATAATAAAAGAGACCAATGTTCAATAAATAATTACATTTATCATTAATAATAACAGTCAGTCACTATAAGCACAATTACCAAAACAATGCTTTTAAATGAACATAGGTTCAAAAGAGCTGTAAATTATAATAAATAAAAGCACATTTAGCATCATCTGACCTGAGTTTGTTGTCCCACGTCGAGTCCCACTGGATCTTCAGAAAGGTGACGATGAGCTGCGCTTCAGCAATGAAGACAAATGCGCTCAGACACGCGTCACCAACTGCCTAAAAACACCACAGTCAAATAAAACACATGCACAAGAAACCTAAACAACGACATCTGCATCAGATCAGTGTTTCTGTTGTTTTTACCTGGTTCTTCACAAACACACTATGAACGGAAGCCTCTTTGTCTGTTGTGGAGGGCAGCTGAATGTTTTCGTGGTCTGATATCTGACTCCAGCGTCCCGGGACTGTGGTGTCCCGCGGGCCGCTCAGATTCTGACGAGAAGAACATTCCCAGAGGAACACCTGTCCTGTGAGAGCGGCCAGGAAAACTCTCTGTGCGTTCTCCGAAACCAGCAGAGAAAGCCGCATTGCAGTCGCTGAACCTTCGTGAGACAAGAATGTGTTCGTTTGAGGATCATTTCCAGATGTGCATCAAGAAAAGTCTGTTAAAACTAGAGGACGACCGATTAATTGTTGCGGAATGCCGGAGAATCTCTCTCTGGCTGCGTGAGAGACGGAGCAGCTCACACTCTGCAGCCGCTTCTTGTTCACACACAGCTTCAGCTAATGATGGCAGGGCAAAACAGACCATTTCGAAAGTGTAATTACGTTTTACCCTACTAGAATTGATGCCGGAAAGTTATCACATTCATAAGTGCAACAAGTCATTTGCATGTGAAAGTAGAAACACCTGCAGTTCAGACAAAACTTCTGGGCTGATTATAACTTTCCTCGTGAAATGTGTGTGTGGGTCCGACAATAGCATCCACGATGTCATCGCTCGTGGCCAGCGCACTCTTAAGCAGTTATGAGCAGCAGGCTGTGTAATATGTGTGAACTCTTTTATTTTTGTTATCTCTTGGCCATTTGACTTATAGCAGTGTCCAGTGTTTCCCATACATTGAGTTATTACTTCGTTGAATAAACTGAGCACTGCACGTTTCAATATTAAAATGCATCGCTGGTGTTTTTATATGAATGAATGTATCTTTGAAAAGAACCGACCGTCTTCAGAAAAGCTTCGGTGTCATTTTCATTTCGTCTTTCCTGTAATGCCTGATAAAGTTGTGTTTGTGAGCGCAGTGCTTATTTGATTACAGCCGGGGAAACAGCTATATCTCCCGCTCCAACAGCGCCTCCTGCTGGCAGAGAATTAATCTGCATTTGCAAGTCTGTGGGAAACACTGGTGTCTGTCAGCAAACATAAACAAAAAGCATGCTTCAGAACTGTTTTGAGAAGGTGCTTAAGTTTTGAGCCATGTATTATTACTCTGAATATGGCTACTAATACTATTACTATCTTGTACCCTGCAATAATCATTTATTCAAACTCACTTTTATGAGATAAAGGGAAAAAAAAAAAATCGCCATCATATATCGGCCATCGGCTGCCCTGATAATGTTGATGTTAGATGTCCTAGATGTTAAAACTGGAGATAAATTGAGCCTAATAAGCTCGCTTCATAATTTGATGAACTCTGCACTATTATTGCACTGAATCAACACTGAACTGACGTATTTTCCTCTGTAGTGCTGCTTTATAGTTGAACTGAGTTCAACTCCTAACGAATGAACTTTGAAACATTAAAAGAATAGTTCAACCAAAAATTAAATTTGGCTGAAAATGTACTCTTCCTCAAACTATCCCAAATGTAGATGAGTTTGTTTCTTCATCAGATTTGGAGAAATGTAGCACTGCATCAGGTTAACATCTGGAGAAGACCAAAGCTGAAACAAATCCAGCATTAATACGAGTCCATGATCCATAATAATGCTTCCTCCAGTGAAAAAGTGCATCTGCTGTTGTCTCTCACATCAAAATCCAGCCACATATTTGTTTAGAGCTGTTTAAACGCTGCTTGATCTGTGCAGATTTCTCTCCTGATTCAGACCAGACCACTTTTTCACTGGAGGAAGCCTTATTATGGATTACGGACTCAGTTATATTTGAGTTAAAAACATCTTAATGCTGGATGTGTTTCAGCTTTTGTCTTCTCCAGATGTGAACTGATGGACTGGAATGCTGTGGATTACTTGTGGATTATTGTGATGTTTTTATCAGCTGTTTGGACTCTCATTCTGACGGCACCCATTCACTGCAGAGCATCCATTGCTGAGACACTGATGCAATGCTACATTTCTCCAAATCTGATGAAGATACAAACTCATCCTAATCTCGGATGGCCTGAGGGTGTGTCAGATTTCAGCCAATTTTCATTTTCATTCACATAAATACCATTATTTTCTGTTTTATTACTGTGAAGCTGCGTAGAAGCATACAGAAATAAAAATAAAAACTCTTACACAGACCTTTGATGGAAGAAACCAGCTGATGAACCTCGGGAACAGCCGAGACCGTCTTCAGCGAATCCTTGTCTTTGTTCCACAGGAAAAGTTCTCCAGAGACCAGAAGACCCACCAGCCACACGCCTGCAAATAATACTGTTAAACACACCAGTGGCCTGCAGCACTGAGGATTAATCACAGATCTCACATCGTTTACCATCCTGAGACGCTGACATGGTCACCACCCTCTGCAACAGCGGCTGGAGTTTTGGGGTCTTCTTTTTAGTCCGTCCCGAAACCAAATGTATTTCGCTGATCCGACTGTCATCTAACAGAAACACACCCTCCTTTTCCTGGAAGCAAACAGTGCTGAGGTGTGTAAGACTGCTTTTGTGCTCCAGGGTCACACACACATATATATATATATATCAGTGTTTGTATGAAATGACAGGATCATTTGTAAATGTATGATCTCACCCGGCCCAGCCAGCAGAATCTGGGCCATGGCTTTCTGCGCTTGATGCTGGATGACAACAAAACCTCCAACTTCACTTCCATTCTTGGCACCGATGGTGAGTTTCAGAGGACTTCCAGTCGGCCTGTATTCTACAGCATCCAGCTAAAGCAAGGATATGAAAACAATCAGTGAAAGTTACTTGCATTTACAGCCCACATGACATATTAAGCACGATATAAAATGCAAAATACTCAGGCAGCTTTATTAGCAGTATAATACCGCCTTTGAATCATATTCAGCTGTTTGTTTGTTTGTTTTTACCTGCTTTACAGCTAAATTATCAGTACTACCACAAATAAACATATTTAGTTTTTTTTTTACATATAAGTGAGTAAATGCTTATTACTGAATATGACATATTGACTAGTCTTAAATTAATTGCATTATAATAAAATAAAAATGCATAATAATAATAATACTAAATATTTTTTAATTCAACCTTAGCAGTCAGTCAGAGAAATCAAACTAGCAGCAAAAATAAGGTATTAAATTAAATGCATAATATAACTGAAAACGATCATACTGACTCAGTCTGTGATATAGAATCTAAAATTAATTGCATTATAATAATTTTAAAAAATTCAGGCAGATAAATCAAATCAGCTGCTAAAAAAAAAGATATTCAAGTAAATGCTTATAATTAAAAATATATATATAATTTACTCTAAATAACCTAACATTAATTGCATTATTATTATACTTAAAAAATAATAATAATTTGCAGCAGTCAGTCAGATAAATCAAATCAGCAGCACAAATAAAGTAAACACTTACAATAAAAATAATAATATTTACTCTAAAATAAATTGCGTTATTATTATTATTTACCAAATTAATTCGCAGCAGTCAGATAAATTAAATCAGCAGCCAAAATAAGGGATTGAAGTAGATATAAATGATATTTACTCTAAGTAACCTAAAATTAATTGCGTTATTATTATTATTATTTTATGTACAACTTTCAACCGCAGCTGCAGTCGGATAAATCAAACCAAACCAAATCAGCAGCCAAAATAAAGTATTAGATCAGCTAAATGAGGAGTATAAACACAAACATCTTTTATTCCGTTTGAAACGGAAGAAAGAAACATTCACAAATGCTAACTAACATGATTCTGAACTCTATCAATATTCCAGGAATACATAAATCAGCTGAATAGTGATAGCGTTAGCTGCAGCATGTCAACACAAACTCACACTCGACACACACACGCCAACTCAGCTTCTGTAGAGCCACAAACTAATGCTAAAGCGTCTTTATTACTCTACCATCATGCCATGACTTCAATAAACGCATTCCGCCTCTGTTTATTCCGCTGTTTTTCGAATCTCCCTCCACTTCCGGTTTTCCAAACAGCGAACGCAATTCCCATGATTCCCGCTGCGTTGCCATAGAAGCGTCACAGACGCGTCAGCCTGTGCGCATGCGCGTTCAGAGGGTGCCTATCATAGATAAGTCTATATATATCGGTATACCGTGTATATCCTCCTGAGAACCAGAAATTAAAAGCTTTGTGAATTTAGTATTTTTTTCATGTCATCACATTGTTTAGAGCATAAGAAAAAAATGGTAACATAACATTTTTGAAAAATTATATTTTATTCATAAGTTATGCTATGTCCTCTGTTTTTCTAAAAAATAAAATGACAAGAGTAGACATGAAAAGGCAAAAACAAAACAAAAACCAATCAATTTTTAGGTTTCAGGATTTTTTACTAACTTTGTTTAAGGATGGTTCTCAACTATGTTATAAAATACATAATGATTTGATATACCATTTTGCTTTATGCAATATGTGTAAAAATTCCATAAACTGGGTTTCCCAATGTTATCTATACACTGTATCTCATTTGCATATTAAAGTGCTGTTGGGACAGCATGTTAAAAAAAAGGGAGTAGTAATTGGCCAGATTTTCATAATAATATCTAATATTTCATAAGAATATTGATATATAATTTGTTTTCCTATTCAATTCTTTTGTCTCCCAAAATGTATAATAAACATGCTTTTAGTCCCGGTGTCCTCTACAGTGGACATGTATGAAATTATGTCCTGTTTCATAACAGGCAGTCATATTTTGATTTGAAACCCCATAACATTTTCCTGAGATGTTGATTTATGACACACAATTTGAAAATTAATCAGATTTAAATTATAATTACAAGATATTAGCATATTTCCATAAGGATGTACAATTTTATCACTAAATTAATGTCAGCCATTTTTAAAAACCAAGGAGAGGGAGTGGTGATGGTGAAACAGCCAATCATTTGGCATCTCTGGAAAGCCCTGAATGTGCTCTGTACAGGACTCCAGACTTACAACTGTGACATGTGAGGTCTCAGAGAAATTCACTAACATATAATGTCCACTACAGAGGCAAAAACTCCATAGCTGGGTCTCAGGAGGCTATATCTGTTGCTGCCAGATCTCGATTGCCGAAAATCACATTGTGTTTGATGCAAAACTAACTCGACTAAATCACATGGAAAAAAAAAAACATTATATCTGTATATTTTCATGCTTTTTCAAGTTAAGCAAATTTTGTCCACTAAAAACATATCTGGTCATAGACAATTGTCAACATGCATAAGTGGTAAATAAATAAACAAATAAAAAAAAGGTTTATAAAAATGTAGCTATATACATTTTTAGCTCAATAATAACAAACATCAGGAAAAAATAGGAAGCAATACCTTTGTTTTTCGTATACTTGTGTCGCTTACAATTAAAGTCCTTTTCTGATTTTATTGTTTGCAACGTTACTTGGCAATATTTTATTATTATTATTATGATATTTTACATGGTCTATTATTGGAGTAGTGTCACCCGGGTGGGAGTTTGAACTCCTATTCACTGGGAATAAAAATAAATGAATAAAAAAATAATAATTCAGTCGATGCAGAGACATATAGACCCCCATCTCCCCACCCTCTGAATATTACGTATCATAATTACGTTATTTGGCGGGTTTTACTTGGAAAAGCAGCTGATTTCTAGCATTCGAATAACTATGGATAAACCTGAAACTATAAGAAGGATTGGAGATGAATTTCATTTACAAATAAGGCAGGAATGTGCATACTTTTAAATCATTCATTCAGTTCAGTATGGTTGGCTCTGAGATTCATTGCTTCTCTATTGTAAATTGCTTTGGATAAAAGCATCTTCAACATGCATAAATGCAAATATTCATTGCACGGAATTAGTGGAAGCTGAAGATGTTGATATTCATATCAAAAATTAAAAAAATAAAAGAAAACACCTAAATTTCAGTTCCACTAAAAACTTCTTATAAACCAATAATAATTACAAAATAACAACCAAAAAGAACAAATTAATCCAATCAGGCTTTACACTATACTTATATAAATTATCAATATAACAATAAAAAAAAAAGAAGAATAATAATAGTCACATAAACCAATGAAATAACATAAAGGGTAGCATGACCTTTATTTAACAAAAAAAAAAGAAATATTTTTTTATTTTTGAAAAATTCATGCATAAAACATTTATTAATAATTATTAAACAAATATGTATGTGTGTGTGTATATATATATATATATATATATATTCACACACTGGAAAAAAATGGTAACCTAAAAATGTAACATCTAAATTAACTGGTTTTATTCGAGTCAAAAAATGTATTTCATATCGCTGAATCAACCTAATTACCTTTAGACCATTATATCATGTAGACATAAAGCTCTTTGAAGTAACAACTGGTTACCACTTTTTGCAGTGTGTGTGTGTGTGTGTTTGATTATAGTTTTATACACCCATGGAATATTGCATTGTTGCATGACTATGTTAATTACACATGTACTGCAATTATGCATCCAGGACAACTCTGATAATATGTTCTTGATGACGTCATCAAGTTCTGGGTGATGTCAGCCAATCACAGCTTATAAATTTAGCCGCGAACCAACTAAATGTATTACTGACCTCTGTACAGATAAATCAAGAAGAACACATCTCTGAGATGGAGGCTCCAGACTGGATCGAATTATTAATGAGAGCTTTCTTCTGCTTCACCGGTATCATAGGGAACGGTTGGCTGGGTTTGCGCTCTCTGCCCAGATCTGGATCTCCGCTTCGGACCAGCGATGTCCTCTTCGTTAACCTGGCCGTGTCCAATCTGATCACAAACTGTCTGGTGGATCTGCCGGAAACCATGGCGCACGTTGCCAAATCCTGGCTCACGAGTAAAGAGTACTGCGGCGTGACTAAGTTTTCCCACGAAATCTCGGAGACCAGCAGCATCTTCTCCACTATGTTCATCAGCATGTATTGGCACCAGAAACTGGTGGGCTCCATCAGACGTGGAGGAGCTCCGGTGCAGATGGATAATTTGAGGTTAGTCGTCGTATTGCTCGCTGGGAGCTGGATCGTGTCGACTGCGTTCAGTCTTCCGTACATCTTTATCGCAGAGCACAATGCGAACGAGAGTTCGGAAGTTTGCGAAGAACGTTTCGCATCACCTGCAGCCAAGCAGACGTATGATGGCATGTACCTTACGCTGGCTAACGTCGTTCCAATGATTGGGATAACTTATGCCACCGTTCAGATCGTCTTAACACTGCTTCGGAGTCAAAAACGAGTCAAGGATCACTCCAGGAATGGAACAAACCCTCAACCTTCATCTGTAGACCAAAAACTGGAAGGAACCGCAGAACGCAGCCTGGAAGAAAGATCTCCAATCTCCACAGATGCTTCTAGAGCTGCTACTCAACAGAAGACGCAGCTCAAATCCAATCCGTCCTCGAGTAACCAGGTTCGAGCAGCCAAAAGCGTGGTTGCAGTCGCCACCATCTTCATCTTCTGCTGGTTCACTCACCTCATTCTCCGCATCTACAGCACCTTCAGAAACTCCATCCTCGCTGTGAAACTCACCAACTTTATAGGAGCTTCTTACGTCTGTTTCGTCCCGTATGTCTACTTGCACGGTGTGAAGAAACTCAACTGCTCTTGGCGGTAAGAACTGGTGAGTTTATTAAGCTTGGTGCATCCTGGGAAACCATTAGTGCACACAGTTGACTGCACCAATATAGCGTTAAAAGCTAAAAGATTGAGTGATTGGCATCTGTGTAAATGCTTTAAACATATAGATATGAAATATATATGAGTGTAGAATATCTTGGGTGTAGCTAAGGAAAGAAAATGAAAATGATTGTTCTCCTGTGCTTTGTTGATTATGACCAGATGTCAGTGCAATTATGTTTGTTATTCCTCTTGACGAATTAAAAACCTGCTTATGAGCGCAATTATTGTCATGTTATTTTTGCTGTCAAATAAGCACAAAAATCCTGGCGTCAGCTGAGATGGTAAAGAGCACTGGACCTTAAACCAACCAGCGTTAACCCTATACAGCCTACTGTGTTATATTTGATACGCAAAGGCCTGTACATGATCAACATGATCAAGACTTTGCTGATAAACCTGTCACACACAATCTACTGCATGTCTTCTGTCTCTGATTGATAGTATAGAGTTGCAGTAAAAGCTCTTTTAGTGTAATTGTAGAAACCTCCAGCTTCAGCTGCTGCTTCTCGTGTGTTTCTGCAGTCAAATCTTGACTGATTTTTATCAAGTAAACGTGAGAATAACTGTAGTAATATTTCTAGATGAACACTTACACTTAAAGCAGCTCAGCTTTACTTGATTCTCCATCATTCATATTTTTTTAGAAAAATCAGTGCGTCTCAAATCTGATCATCAGGATGTTTTGAGGAGCGTTTGTTTCCAGAAGCTTTACTTTCACTGTTCCTCAGCGGAGGAATGATCTTCACAAGCCTCCAGAACATCTCACATCTTCTGAGGAGCCTTTATTTCTTCAGCTCTCAATCACTGCATTATATGTTTGGAGCATTTCAATCTTACTATTATTGGAGATATAGAGTGATGACTGATATTTATATCATTTTACGTAAGTATCTGCTGTACTCTTATAAAGATCTCATTAATTTACATTACAAGCTTTAGAATTTCATCACTTTTTGTCCATATAAATATCAGCATCTGCACCAAATAGAATACTTTTTGCTCAGTTTGAGACTATGAACTGGTTTTTCCTCCATATTCTCACTGTATTATATACTATGATGAGCCATAAAAGCTTGCTGCATCAAATATGATATTCAACAAAATTGCATATGCAAACTTTGTTTAGATTTGTCTAAAGGATCAATAAACTGTTCCATTAAAAAATAGATTTTTTTGGACTATTATTTCTTATGTCAGGCTTTACATTTACATTTATCCAAAGCGACTTACACTGCATTCAGCCTATACATTTTTTTTACCAGTATGTTATGCTTTAGAGTATGCTTTACAAGGTTAAAAATTGTATTTTTGACTGTTGTGTCCTCTCACTCACTGACACTTTACATTCATACTGTAAATGCCCCAAATAAAAAAATTCAAATATGCTGATAATCAATTCAACTGAAAGTTTCACTTGATTAAACATTGTTTAGTATGTCTTTCAAACCATTTGCAATATTAAATCAGAAAAATAGAGGGAATTTGTAATCAAAATGACAGACCTGCTGCAAGTACATGCAGTGCTGTGCTGCAGGATAACAATTACAGCTTATGCAAAGTAAAGTGTGTTTAATGTTTGTATTGTGTAAATGAAAATGCACCCACTATTTGTTCTGGGTTCATTCTCAGCAAAGCAGGAGGAGATTTTAGTGACATGTGACCATGATATCATCAGTTCATACCTTACACTGGATCAACACTGGATCAACAAAGTTCACTGCCAACACTGGATCTGTACATGCAAAACAAGAGTCTTTCCCAAACCAGCTTCAGGAGCAAAACAACTCTGAGATGGAGGTCCAAGCCTGGATTGAATCATCAATACGAGCGTTTTTCTGCTTGACTGGCATTACAGGGAACCTCTGGCTGGGTTTGCGCTCTCTTCCCAAATCCAGATCTCAACTGCGACCCAACGACGTCCTCTTTATTAATCTGGCCGCGTCCAATCTGATCACAAACTGTCTAGTGGATCTTCCAGACACATTGGCGCAGTTTGTGAACGACTGGTTCATGGGTAGAAACTACTGCAGCGTGCTTCAGTTTTCATCCGATCTCTCGGAGACCAGCAGCATCTTCTCCACTATGTTCATCAGCATGTATTGGCACCAGAAACTGGTGGGCTCCATCAGACGTGGAGGAGCTCCGGTGCAGATGGATAATTTGAGGTTAGTCGTCATATTGCTCGCTGGGAGCTGGATCGTGGCGTTGATGTTCAGCGTACCCCACTTTTTTATTGCAGAACACGATGGGAACGAGACTTTAGAAGTTTGTGAAGAACGTTTCCCAACACCTGTGGAGAAAAAGACGTTCGATGCGCTGTATCTGATTCTGGCGAACGTCGTTCCACTTGCTGGGATCACCTACGCCAGTGTGCAGATCGTCTTAATGCTGCTCCGGAGTCAAAAACGAATCACGGACCACTCCAAAGGAAGAAATGCACCACCTACAGAAGAAAATACGGCCAAAAAGTCTAAAGCCGTGAATACCGTCGCCAACCCGCAACAGAAGACGCAGGTCAGATCCAATCCATCCTCGAGTAACCAGGTTCGAGCGGCCAAAAGCGTGGTTGCAGTCGCCACCATCTTCATCTTCTGCTGGTTCACTCACCTCATTCTCCGCATCTACAGCAACTTCAGAAACTCTATCCTCGCTGTGAAACTCACCAGTTTTATTGGAGCTTCTTACACCTGTTTCGTTCCCTATGTGTATTTGCACGGTGTGAAGAAACTCAACTGCTCTTGGCGGTAAGAACTGGACTGGAAAAAGCATCTGAGGAAAGAAGCTTGTTTTGATGATTAATGGCAAAACATGTAAACAAAGCTTGAGTGATTAGCAATTAGTTGTTTGTAAACACCGTATATGTAAATACCTCTTGTCTTTTTATATGAAGTGTGTGAATCGTAGTAAAAGAACTGGTTTATCATTTTTTCCACCACCAAAGCAGAAACAGAAGTGACTCTCCCTCCAGTGCTTTGGTAATTGCTGCCAGCGATCACTGTAATTATGTTCCTTATGCCACTTAACAAATTATAAATCTGCACATGAGTGCAATTCTCCTCAATGTTATTTACAAAAACAAAGGAGGACAGCACATTATAATCAATATATTTAAAGCATATTTATAATATATAATATTTTGCCAAATAGGTATAATTAGCCAATATAAAGTGTGTATATACTTATATTGATTATAATTTGCTATTTCTTTTTTATGAATTGATTTCGGTAGCACTTTACAATAAGGTTGTATTGGTTAACATTAATTAACTACATTAGTAAACATGACTTAACAATAAAAATTAAATCTTAAACATTAATCTTAGTTAATTCCAACATTTTATTAAAATAAAAAGTTATTATTTATTATATTAAATAAATTACATTATTTAATGGACCTGAACTAGCATGAATTAACAATGAACTGTATTTTTATTAACTAACGTTAACAAAGATGAATAAATACTGTAAGAAATGAATTGCACATTGTTAGTTAATTTTAGTTAATGCATTAACTATTGTTAACTAATGGGATCTTGTAATTTCAATAACGTTTAAACTTAAATTTTGGTGATTTAAAATGTTTTGGTGATTGACCTCTTTATCTATGAATCATACTGAATGGCTCTGAAGAATAAGGGTCATATTATATATACATCCAACCTGCTTGCTTTGCATTATGATCACTTTACATTAAACATAAGCCTTCATTTAATCAACGTTAGCCAATATTGACATATTTATTCAAATTCTAGCTAAATCAATAAGTCATGCAGGACCAATGTAAAACTCAACAGCCTATTATAACCACAATCCCTCAAATAAAATCTAGTCAACATCAGAGCTGTTGAAAATGTTCATTACCTCGGCAGTCGATTTTGACATTAGTGGGCACATAACAGCAGTCAGCAGACATTGAAGTGAGTTGCTGTTTATTTATTTTTTTATGTGCATCCAGTCTCATTTTGTAAGTGACCTTTCTTTCTGTTTTAAAGATGTTTTCTTTGGATTGTTTGAGTGCTCAAAAGAGAATAGAGGAATATGTAACTTAATTAAGCTGTGTTTCCTGCTAGCTAAATTTCACATACATATACAAACATTATTTACTTGCTCTAAACCTCTCTTTTCTTTATTCGAAGTTAATCTAGAGAAGTACTATCTAAGCAGTCAAAACTACAACTCTAGTCTATATTCATCCTATGTGTCCTCTTAAGGTGTAAATTTACTACAAAAAAAAACCATCATGGTTAGGCTACTATAGTTAAACCATGCTAACCACAAATTAACCATGGTTTTGCTACACTAACCATTATAAAACCATGGTTAATTTTCTTAAAGGTGCAGTAGGAGATCTTGGAAAATGCTAACTTTAGCCTGATAGCACTGAAAGCGAACGTCCCACCCTCTCTGCAATCGCCGTCCAAAGCCACACCCCCTGAACGCATTTACGCTCACAGACCAGAATACCAGAGACAACATTACTACAATAGGCTACATCAGCGGTTCCCAATTCCAGCCCATGTTCCCAAGTGAAGTAAACTTCAACGGAGTTCCCCCGCTCAGGGAGTAGGGAGCAATGAACACTGTGTAGGGATCATATCGATCGGAACACAGTTCATGCACGTAGCTCACTTCTAACAAGCTGGCGCGAGGATTGCTATCGGGATGTGAAAAGACTTTCAACCAGCATAACAAAAAATGTTTCTGAAGACAATCACCTTTTTGTATCGATTCGGCGCTCAGATTCACGAACCCGCTCCGAAGTTCCGACCCGAATCAAATGATTCG